GAACACCTCCTGGGAGGGGAATACAGGCTCCTGTCAGGACAGGAGTCTAAACTGTTCTTGAAAAAGCCCATAGGGACAGCAGAGACTGTGGGAGTTCTCTCACCAACCTCCTTGCTGGTTTATGATGAAAAGGGCTCAGTACCCTGGCCCTAGAGAGAGAAGGGCTACGTGGAGGGTCGCAGTGAGCCTCTGAGGCTAGCATAGACCACCTGGAAGCGCGGGACCGACGGACACAAAGTTGGAGCTTTGCCACACCCTGTATAAGCTTTATACAGAGTAAAACGGATTTATTTGGGGTTTGGATCCCATTGGGAACTGGGTGTTTGGGTGCTGGACACAGGTAACCTGCTGAGCTGTTTTCAGTTAAGTCTGCAGCTTTGGGGGCGTGGTTCAGACCCTGGGTCTGTGTTGCAGCAGGCTGGTGTGTCTGGCTCAACAAGGCAGGGTTCTGGAGTCCCAAGCTGGCAGGGAAAACGGGCTCAGAGGTAATTTCAGCACGTCAGGTGACAGTCTCAAGGGGATCTCTGTGGCCAAACCCATCACAATGGGTTTGTTTAGTCTGGAGAAGAGAAGACCAAGGGGGGACATGAGAACAGTTTTCAAGTACATAAAACGTCGTTACAAGGAGGAGAGTGAAAAATTGTTCTCGTTAACCTCTGAGAACAGGACAATAAGCAATGGGTTTAAATTGCAGCAAGGGCGATTTGGATTGGATATTAGGAAAAACTTGACCTATCTAGTCAGGGTAGTTAAGCTCTGGAATAAATTACCTAAGGAGGATGTGGAATCTCCATCATTGGAGATTCTTAAGAGCAGGTTGGACAAAGAACTGTAAGAACATAAGGACGGCCAGACTGGATCAGACCAAAGGTCCATCTAGCCCAGTGTTCTGTCTGCCGACAGTGGCCAGTGCCAGTTGTCCCAGAGGGAATGAACAGAACAGGGAATCATTAAGTAGTCCTTGTAGCGGGGTGATCACCCACTTCTATAAATAAATAAGATATTTCCATTAATTTATTTTATCTCCTAGAACTGGAAGGGACCTTGGAAGGTCCTCAAGTCCAGCCCCCTGCCTTCACTAGGCGGGACCAAATACTGATTTTCACTCCAGATCCCTAAGTGGCCCCCTCAAGAATCAAACTCACAACACTAGGTTTAGCAGGCCAATGCTCAAACCACTGAGCTATCCCCCCTGCCTTGAAGGGGTTAAAACCAGGAGCACCACCAGCTTTTCTGCCGCCCTGGGTCACCTAATGGTTGCCCCGGCCCTGGTTAAAACAGCCCTGGGAAAGGGCTGCCCCAGGGAGCCAGAAGGTTAGGCTGAGTGGGGAAGCAGCCACAGCTGGGGCCACGCCCCAATCAGGGCCCAGCTGGCCCTATAAAAGGCTGTGGGCCAGGAGCTCGGGCAGAGTCTCTCTCTAGCTGTGGAGAGAGATGGGCCTGGCTGCCTGGGAGCTCAGCAGGGTACCTAGAGTGGAGCAGGGCTGGGGAAAGGCCAGAGGAGCTGGGGAGCTCTGGCCTGGAAAACCCCCAGGCTGCAGGCCTTGGTAAAGGCTGGGAAGCGTACTGGGGTTGCAGAGGTGCAGCCCAGAGATAGGCAGAGGCAGCAGGTCCAAACCCCCCTTGCTGATAATGAGTGGTATAGACTGCAGTCTGCCCCAGTGAGCGGGGGCTAGATGGTGACTGGCAGTAGCTGGCGAGGTGGGGGTAGAGGGTTGGGGGTTCCCCTGGGTGGGGAGATCCAGAGAGTGGGTGTACTGCCAGGGGGCGGCAGCACCCAAGGTAAAGGGCCACCGGGGTCTGGGAGGGACATGGGGGGCCAGCGGCAACCGGACATCGGCCAGCAGGGGGCACTCTGGAGCTGGAGAGCTAATTCCCAGGACGACCAGCAGGCGGCGCCACACCGGTGAGTCACCGCATCGCTACATCCTGCAATTTCCCATTTGAGTTCCTTCAGCACTCTTGGGTGAATCCCATCTGGTCCCGGTGACTTATTACTGTTTAATTGATCAATTTGTTCCAAAACCTCCTCTAATGACACCTCAGTCTGGGACAGCTCCTCAGATCTGTCACCTAAAAAGAATGGCTCAGGGGTGGGAATCTCCCTCACATCCTCAGCCGTGAAGACCAATGCAAAGGGGGGAGGGATAGCTCAGTGGTTTGAGCATTGGCCTGCTAAACCCAGGGTTGTGAGTTCAATCCTTGAGGGGGCCACTTAGGAATCTGGGGCAAAATCAGTACTTGGTCCTGCTGGTGAAGGCAGGGGGCTGGACTTGATGACCTTTCAAAGTCCCTTCCAGTTCTAGGAGATAGGATATCTCCATTTTAAAAAAAAAAAAAAAAAAAAAGAATTCATTTAGTTTCTCCGCAATGGCCTTATCGTCCTTGGGTGCTCCTTTAGCCTCTCGATCATCCAGTGGCCCCACTGGTTGTTTAGCAGCTTCCTGCTTCTGATGTACTTAAGCAAAATTTTGCTGTTACTTTTGGAGTCTCTGGCTAGCTGTTCTTCACATTCTTTTTTCGGCTTCCTAATTATATTTTTACACGTCATTTGCCAGAGTTTATGCTCGGTTCTATTTTCCTCACTAGGATTTAACTTCCACTTTTTTTAAAGGATGCCTTTTTGCCTCTCACTGCTTCTCTTCCTTTTTTTTGTTTAGTCAGGATCTGTCTAGTTATGATCTAGTTCTGCCCTGTGTGCAAGGGGCTGGATTAGTTGACCTTGTGAGGTCCCTTCCAGCCCTACAGTTCTATGTTGCTATGGCTACACTATGGGGTCTGTAGCGGTGTAGCTCCGTTGCCAAAGCCGGGGGAACACCACCTCCCCGCGTGATGGTGGCTGGGTCTCCAGCCAGTAGGGGCAGAAACTGCCAAAGAACTTTCTACAGTTTTCACTGGACTTTCTCGTCCCGGTGCTGCTTGATTGTTCGTTCCAACCCTCCCTGTCACTTCAGGCTCTTCCTCTCGGTTCACTCCACGCCAGCCCCTCTGCCCTGGCCCCCTAGACCCACTTCCCTTCCCATTTAGCGGATCCCCTCCTAGCTAACCCACCTGCCCCCACAAAAAGCAATTGAGGCATTAACATGCCATTCGCTGCCCACCCATTGGTCACTCCGTTGGTGTGCTGTACCCTGTCCCCCTGCCCTGGGTTTGCTTGTCTAGTTAGGGCTGTCAGCTCTTTGGGGCAGAGGTGTCTGTGAATCTGGGTTTGTACAGCCTTACACAGGATTCCACCTGCCACCAAAATGCGGCCAGCTCTGGGGCACTGCCTGGCAGTTCTTTGGCAGCAAAGAATGACTATATGCAACCGTGTGTCTCCCAAATAGACATTCACACAACAGGCCTGTGAAATGCCGCCTTAACAAGAGACGGTTCTGGGCTTGTCTACACTTCAAACACGGCACCCGCACAGCTGTAGCGCTTCAGTGTAGACACCACCTACACAGGCCTAGTTGAGAAAATGGGCATGATTTGCGGGACGTTTTTCCATAGACAAACTTTCATTGTGTTTGAAATGTTGTGAGGAATTTTCCGATGAAGCGATTCAAAAAAAAAAAAAAGAGGGATTTGAAATTGGGGTGAAAATCCAGCAGGGTTTGTCTCCCTAACCCCGTTGCGATTCTGTTTCTTTCAAATTAGTTCATGGAGCCTTTTGAATGTTGCAAACATTTTTCACCACAATTTTTGTCTAGTGCAAAATGTTGTCGTCTGCGAAACAAAAACGTTTTTGCAAAGCCGAAGGAGAAAGAATATGGGCTTGTCTATGCTACGAAGACACTACAGCAACAGGGGGATTTTCCAGTCAATGTAGCTAATCCATTTCCCCAAGCCAAAACAGCTAGGTCAACTGAAGCATTCTTCCATGGACCTAGCCACGTCTACACCAGGTGTTAGGTGGGCTTAGCTAGGGTGCAGCGGAGTGTGAATATTTTCACATTCCTGAGCAAAATAGAGTAAGAAAGGGGGGGGGAAAGAGAATTCACTCCCATGAGGCACCATGGTTAGGAATTCCCATGAAGCACAAGAGGAGTAACTGTGTTGCATCATGGGAGATGTAGTCCAACCAGCGAGCCCAGCCTCTAGAGAATGGATGAGTGAGGCGCATGTGCTAGAACTCCCATGAGGTGTCACGGACACGGAAATATTCCAGCTTCCAAATCTCCATCAGAAAAAAAAGATCGAAATTTTCTGCTGAACAAAATTTAAAATTCTGTGCCCCCAAAATTGAGAAATTTCTTTTGTTTTCACATTCATCAAAATTTTCTAAGGAAACGCCGACTTGCTTTTCACTCTGACAGGGAAGTAGGGGTTGAGAAGCAGCTTGGAACAGACGCTGGGTCTGGATGAGGGGATGGATCACCCACTAATTGCCTTGTTTTCTTCATTCCCTCTGAAGCATCTGGTAGCCAGGGTGGGCAGGGATGGTGTCCCTAGTCTGTGTTTGCCAGAAGCTGGGAATGGGCAATGGGATGGATCACTGGATGATTCCCTGTTCCCCTCATTCCCTCTGGGGCACCTGGCATTGGCCACTGTCAGTAGACCCGATACTGGGCTGGATGGACCCTTGGTCTGACCCAGTAGGGCCATTCTTATGTTCTTATGGTACTGGCCATTGTCAGAAGACAGCAGATTGGGTGAGATTGACCTTTGGATGGCCCGTTCTTATACGGTTATGCCCAGGGAGTGACCCGCACAAAACAGTGCTGTGCATGCTGGGAAAATCCCCTCGGCCGCCTCCCCTTGACAAGAAACAAGCAGACACCTGAATGGTTTCAATACCATTTTTATTCAACCCACTGGATTCACTGATTCACCCATTTTAAGGCCGTCTATGGCTGATGTCCTGCATAACTGACGTAGGAGAATTACACCTAGTTCCCCCCCACACACCCAGATAGAGCCCAACAACCTGTGATGAACTCATCTCTCCAAAGGCACCCCTAAATCCCAAGGGGTGCGTGGGGGGTGGTTTCTCCAGGATCTTGCAGACAGAGGGCAAATCAGGACAGCTGTTTCCCCAGGAGCAGCCCGGCCAACGTTGGGAAGAACGCCAGGGCGTGAACAGCAACGTTAGAGCCCTTGCTGGTAGCCGCACGGCAGATGGCTTTGGTCAGCGTATATGTCTTCTGGGAATAGTAGAAAGTGCCATTGACTTCCAGCTCACAGGCGCTCTGGGTAGCGCAGCCTTTCAAGACCAATGTGGTGGTGGTGCTTTTAACTGCAGATGGAAAGAAACAGGCGATAAGAATCAAGAATGGCCTGGCCTTTTCGTCTCGTCCCCTTCCCCACCAGCCTGGGCCGCAGAGCTTTGCCAATAGCCCATTTTGGGGGGGTCGGTTTCCAGCCTGACAAACCGTTGGAAACACTCGGGTTTGAGTTGACCCAGAATGGATGATTTTCGGCAAAATGGAAGCGGGTGACAGAAATGAGTTACCTTTGGGGTTGAAAGGGAATGTTTTGTTGGAGGTTTTTTATTTTGAAAGGGAACATTTTGTGGGTTTTTTTTTTTTTTTTTTTAATTTTTACACAAATTCTCAAAATGCTTCATTTGGCACGAATCAGCTCTAACACATTAGACCTCACTCTTGTCCCAGAGCTGGCAATAGAACCCAGGAGTCCTGGCACCCAGCCCCCAGCTCTAACCACTAGACCCCACTTCCCTCTCACAGCTGAGGATAGAACCCAGGAAAAACTAGGACTCCAAATGTTGATTCTCATAACCCTTCGATGCTGAAAAACAGGGGCCCATATCAATGAAAATAAAGGTGTCACTCAATACATGTCACCAGTTGTAGGGTTAGGGAATTCTGGATTTCACCAGTTCTGGCAGGAATTCCCAACTGCCTGGGAGAGCTCAGGTCAGTTCCCAAGCGTGTTTGGAGGAATTACCAAGCGTCCCAGCAAAGTCGATGCAACGATCTTGAGAGCCCATGCAGGGGATGTTCACGTTCTTGCACTGGTCAGCATCCGGCGCATCGCAGGCTGCGCACTGCAGCCCGTTCTTGGGTGAGCTCTTCGGCGGCACTGGGAACAATCGGAGAAAGAACCATGGGTCAGAATTTCAGGACACAAAGAGGCTCATGATGGAGAATCAACAGAACTATCCAACCACACAGCTAGAACTCTCAGCCAGGATCTCCTCATCTCTCGTCTCGGTTCCCGCAACAGCCTGCTCTCTGGCTTTGACCAATGCAACCTGGCCCCGTTCAACTGCTGCTGCAAAAGTTCTCCAAGCCTGTCGCTTGGACCATGGCACCCAATTCTTTGTGTCTCTCCCTTTTTTCCATTGCATCAAACATAAGCCAAATGCCCCACTGGAAAAATCAAAAAAAAATTCCTATGGGAAATTCTTAAATGAACATTTTCAATTTGCTGCCACCTGATTTTCATTCTGGTTTTCAGCTTTCGAGGCCAGCGGGCCGTTTTTTGCCAGCGAATGTAATAGATGGAATGAAATCTGTGTTTTCGGATGTTTTTTCCTGTAACGTTTCCAAATGTCTCCAGTTTCGGGAAAAGGCACAGAGCAGTTAAAGGAATAAAAAGGAAATGAGGCATCTCCGGCACTTTGTAACTTTGCCAGCATTGGCGACATTTGGAAGCATTAGAGAGAGGAAAAAGGAGGAGACTGGAAATAACTCAAACAAACCCTGGGGTTTATTTAGTCACAAAATGCCAGAGGAGGAGGAAGAGGAAGGGGGAGAGAAGGAAGGGGGAGACCCAGGTTCAAAATAGGGTAGAAAAAAAAAACAAAAATTGACTTTAATTTCCAGTAATGTCTGAAAACATTTTGGATTAAACTCTAGTTCTGGGGTGGGCAAACTTTTTGGCCCGAGGGCCACATCTGAGTGGAGAAATTGCATGCAGGGCCATGAATGTAGGGCTGGGGCAGGGGGTTGGGGTGCGGGAGAGGGTGCAGGGGGTTGGGGTGCAGGGTGCAGCAGGGGGCTCAGGGCAGGGTTTGGGGTGCGGGAGGGAGTGTGGGGTGTGGGAGGGAGTGCAGTGTGCAGGAGGGGGCTCAGAGCAGGGGGTTGGGGGGCAAAGGGTAGGAGGGGGTCGGGATTTGGGCTCTGGCCAGGTGCCGATTACCTGAGCGGGTCTGGGGTGGCAGCGGCACGCAGTGGGGCTAAGACAGGCTGCCTGCCTGCCTGCCCTCACCCCGCGCTGCTCCGGCACCATGTCCCTGCGGCCCCTCCCATTGGCTGCAGTTCCCCGTTCCCGTCCAATGGGAGCTGTGGGGGCTGGTGCCTGCAGGCAAGGGCAGTGCGTGGAGCCCTCTCTCCCTCCCTCCCATCCTGGGCCACAGGGACATGGTGCCGGCCACTTCCGGGAGCAGCACGGGACCCACGGTGCCACTGGGGTGACAATCCCACGGGCCGAATCCAAAGCCCTGAGGGGCCGGATCCGGCTCGCAGGCCATAGTTTGCCCACCCCTGTGCTAGTTGAAACATAATTTGGTTTTGATTTTTCGGAGCCTCCACCAAACCGAAGGGGAAAAAAGTCAGTCTCTCTTCATTGTGCTGAGGCCAGGGTGAAATGGGGCCAGTTTGAGTTTTTGTAAAACAATATTTCACACACGCAAAAGTGTAAAGCTCTTTGCTTTTAACCTTGCAAAACGGAAACAGTTTGGAAATTTCTAATGGTCGCAGGCAAATTGTTTTCCCGCCCGTCGAGCAGCTGTGCCTGCGAATGGCTGCGCTCGGTACGTACCGGCCAGGGTTATATTCTGGTTGCATTTGTTGCTTTGACAGCACATGGAGTTGGTCCTCACTTGTTTGTCAGTCCCGACGGTCAGGCTGATGAGCCCTGTGAGGCAGGTAGTGCGGTTCTCCACACAAGTTGCGTAGACGGTCTCACTGTCCTGTCCTCCTAGGTGCAGGGGGGGAAAAAGACAAAAATCAGCCTACATGTGTGCGCACACCCAGGCACCCCACAACTCCTCCATCCACACACCCAACACAAGCCACCCACCCACTCTCACAAACCCTCCCCCACACCATCCTCCCATACCACACAACCCTTCCCCAAGGCACACCCGACAAAACCCGCACACACTCACCTTCCCCACACACAGGCTCCTGCCCCACAACAAATGCCACCACCTACAGCACCCACATATACAACCCTCCCCCCACCAAGTACAACACCCCCACACTCACCCCAGCTTCCCCAACACACACAACTACCCCCGCACTCTACACAACCCACCACATCCAAAACTCCATACCTGACATAACACCCCCCCACAAACACCCAACCCAGACACCCTACACAACCACCCCACAACAGCCATACACAACACACAGCCCATACCAGACACAACCCCCTCGAGCCACACACACAACCCCTGCCCGTGCCCCCCCCACACACACACACACAAACCCCACACCTCAAGAATAGATCTGACCCATCTCATTTATTTCTCATCCTAATGGAAGCAAATTTTGGCTAATCCACTCAGGTTAAAAGGGATAAGAGCATCGTGGGCTGGCTGGAAAGTTAGGCAGGTTTGGGGGAGGGAAAGGGGAGCACCAGGCCCATCTCGCTCACCTGAGGAGACTGTTTCCAGAGTGAACATGCAGGCCCCATTGGTGGAATTTACTGTGCACTGATCCTCACTGAGAGAACATTTAGCTGGGGAATTCATGCATGAACAGGAATCTGTAGGAAAAATCACCAAGGGTCAAGGATTAATTCTGGTGCAAAGGTCCCTCCCTGCTTCTTGTCTGTCCCTAAGGGTTTAATTTAAATGGGGGGGTTTACAGGTGTCACTAATCCAGATTAGTTGAACCAGATTAAGTCCCAGTGTAGACACACTCAGTAAATTCAGTTTAGTTGACTTTACGGTGGAGGTGAACGAAACTGAATTAAAGCCACTTTTAATCTGCATTAACCAAAAGTGTGAATTTAAACTGGATTGGTTAAAGTCCTCTGTGCACACTTTCTGTTGGGATTAAAGTGGCCTTCATTTGGCTTAGTTTAATTCACTTTGGAGGTAAATTAAGAAACTGAATTAAGGTCATTTATATTCCAAATTAGATGGGTTTAATCCAGTTTAAAAATCACACCTTTGGTTAATTTGGATTAATTTTCCAGAGTGTCCGCCTGTAGGCAAGGCCTTTGAGGGGAGAATCATCAGAAGGAACTTGATAGAGGGTTACAGAGCAGTAGCTGAAGGGTAGGTGGCATGGCCGGTCAGTCTGAGCCTGAGCAGTTTACACGAAGGCCATTTGCACAATTGGCACAAAGGAGCCATAAAATGGGTATGAGTTACTGGGTCTAATGGGGTGACACTGGGGTAAATCAGGGGTGACTCCAATTTAGCCAATAGTGTGACACTGGAGTAAATCAGGAGTGACTCCAATTTAGCCAATAGGGTGACACTGAAGTAAATCAGGGGTGACTCCGCTGGAGCCCGTGGTTGAAAAGGATAATTGTGAAACGCGTGGCTCGGAGACTTACATTCGCCATTAGCTGCAGCTAGGAGCACGGCCAGAAGGCTGAGCACGAGGGAACCCTGCATGGCAACCGGGAGAGTGTGGGGCTGGGCTCGGAGCCGGACTGGACTCTTGTTTGCCTCGGATGCACCGAACTCTGCAGCCACAGTGCGCACGGCCTGGGGGGGGGGGAAACACAGGAAGTGGAGAGCTCCAGGATTCCATGCCCTGGGGGGCGGTAGGATTTACTAGAGAAGCTGCCCCTGTCCTGCCCAGTCTAAGCTTGCGACTCACGGCAATGAACGAAATGGCATCTCTAGCCCTGGGAACCGGCCCTAAAGGAAGTTGAGTCTGCAGCAAGGAGACAGGAGCTAACAGCACCAAATCCTCTTGCTGGGAGGTGGCACCATAACATGACTTTGCTGCTTCGAATCCAGAACAATCACCCGCAAGAACTGAAAGCAGAGGGAGACGAAGCAGGCTGCTCGCTAAGGTACAGAGAGCCAACCTACCCCACCTGACTCTAGGCCACCTCTCCACAGATCGCCTCCAGGCACACACGCTACCCTGCAGAGCCCCCAGCCTGCTGCAGGATCAGGAAAGCCCCTTTCCCATGGAAAGCAAATCGCTGGGTATTGTAACACTGTTTTCAATACAGCCCAGCAGACGCCAGCTTGGTGAGGTGCAAGCTGCCCCGTGTGTATTGGGGTGCACAAGCCCCGGGGTGTCCCAGCCACTAAGGGGAACTGGGCCTAAAGGGGGCGTCGGCCCTGCGGGGAGAGGGGTGAGGTCCAGTTCTGGTCGATGGACATGTGCTGGCTTTGACCCAGCTAGTGCACTACAGATAGCAGTGACACACATTCACACACACACACATTCACACACACACACACACACCTCCCTTACACAATCCCCACCCACTCACACAACCCCCCGCAACCTCCCACCCACACACCCCTCCCATACACAACCCCACCCACACACAGACAGCCTCCCCTGTGACCCCACCCACCCACACACACACCCCTCATACACAACCCCACACACACAAGACCCCGCACAACTCCCCACCTACATACCCCTCCACACACAACCCTCCCCCACATAAACAGCCTCCCCTGCAACCCCTCCCTCACACAACCTCCCCCACCTCCCCGCAACCCCCCCACACACACATCCTCACACACTACCTCAACACACACCCCACACAAACCTCATAAACAACCCCCCATACACATAACCTCCACACACCCCTCCCCCACACACCCCTCCGTCACGTCCCTGACAATCCCCCCCACACCTCCCTATAACACAACCTGCCCACTCCTCTCCCCACCCACACACCCCACTAACCTACTGCCCCACACACAACCTCCTCACACACTCCCACAAAACCCTCCCCCACTTCCCGCACATCTGCTCCCACCCCCACAACCCTCCCTAACACAAACCACCCCCACGCCCCTTCCGCCCACCCCCCAGCCATGCATGTGGCCACACTGCTATCCACCGCTCAAGCAGAACTAGGACAGGTCCCTCTCCCTGGGCTGGGCCTGACCCCTCAGCTGCCATGTGGACAAACCCTGAAGGATTAACAGGGGCAGACTGGTGGCCCTCCCACAGCTGGGGCGAGAAAAGACTGCAGGGCCAGGGACCCCAGGGGGCAGAGTCCTTGGGCAGCTGCCTGGCTGGGCTGCCGGAGGCAGAGAGTGAGTGGGAGTCGCAGAAGCAGCCTGCGAGGTTGTGCCCCAGCACCCTTCTCTGCAGTCTTGGGGCGCTTTCCAGTCAGGCATTGAGTGACGTGACTACACACCTGTCCCGTGTCGTTTGTTCTCCCCTACTTACTCCATCCTGTCGTCAGTAGGGTCCAGAGTCAACATGCTGAAGCCAGAGTCTCTCAGCTCTTCACTAAGGTTCCTGGTCCTGACTCACTAGAGTAGCTTCTGCCCCAAAAGGGGAGAGAATATTAAAGATCCAGGTGGAATCCTAGCAAGGAACTACCAGACACGGGGCTAAACGGTCACTGGCCAAACAAAGGGGAAATGGAGGCAGCCTCAACTGCAGGGGGCGCCAGCAGCTAAAAACAACGGCAGACAGCAAGTTGACTCTGAACCCTACTGATAGCCTCATTGCTCATTATTTCAAAGCTGAAGCAGGTGCCACCAGCCAGATGGGCCCTTGGAATTGCCCTGGTAGTAGAAAGTAGCTTTAAAGTGTCTGGAAACCGCCCCTTTTAGTTCAGCCGAGAATGCGGATCTCCTATTTTCCTCCTGGGAATAAAGGACGAGCCAAACCCAGGGTAACTTTTTCAAAGTGCCTGTAGGTGGAAATTTTAAAACTCTGAATGGAGTTAGGCTCCTAATTCCCATTGAACCCAAGGGAATTAGGTGCTTTATGGGAATCCACTAGGTTCCTGAAACTTTAAATCCGACTCCTATTTGTGTTACGAGACAGAGAAAACCAAAACTGCCAGTTTCTTTCTTCTTATCGCATCGTATCTTATCTGCCAGATAATGGGCCAAGAGAGAACCTCGGTTTTGCCCAGTCTGGCAAATCCCATGGACGAAACCTCGCAGCTTTATCCAAAGAATTGGCTTGACAACGGGGATTTTGCCCTCTGGAATTTCCGCAGGATAAAAAATCTCCGGTCAGAATTTCTTCCCCCCATTGGGTCATAACATTTTTTCCCCATGTGGAAATTTGAAAAAAGTAAGAAAGCGGGGCGGGGGCGGGGGGGGGGGGGGGGGAATCGACCTTTCCCCATTTCTTGTCTGGTTTCCCCAGTTAGAAAACAGCAGCAAGGTGTGAAAGTTTGAGTTATTTCCCCACACCCACACACTTTCTCAGCCCTTTTGCAACCAGAAAAAACACAAAACCGAAGTGTTACTTTGGCTCGCTTAAAGAGACAGTTAAACAGGGAGACAAAGCAGCGGGGCCGATTGGACAGAGCCCTGCGCTGCGCTTCAGAGGACTGAGCAGGCTGCTGCTTGCAAACCCCTTCCCCATCGTGCCTCAGTTTCCCCATCTATAAAACAGGGCTGTGATTAGTATTATTTTAAAACAATCAGTTACTTTCTCTTGTTTTAATTTTTGAAAACTTTCCCCACTCCACTTTTCCAGAGGAAAACTTTTTAAAAAATGAAGAGAGGTTCGGCATTTTCCTACCATTTCCACAGGAACAATTTCTGGATCCCACCCGAGATCCAGGGGGTTTCCCTGTCATGCCAGGTGCCCCACAGACCCTGCCCGAGACACACAGGGTCTTCCCATATGGCATGTGTGCCTGGGCCCCGCCCAAAATCGGGGATGGTGAGTTCCCCATCGTGCCAGGCACCACCTGGGCCCCACCCGAGATCCAGAGATGCTCACCATCATACTGGGAACATATAGACCTCAAGTGAGATCTGGAATGGAATTTAAATTACATCTTAACCCTTTTATCAGCAGCAGAGCTGGTCAGAAATGGGAAGGGGAAAAAAACCCAATAAGATCCAGGTGCTTTTCATGTTTCAGAAATCTTCTCACTGCTTTCTTTTTGGATTTCTTCACTGGCGTCTTTCGAGAGAGTTCTTTTGTCTCCCCCCGGTTCTCAATTGAAATCGCGTCTCGGGCGTTTTCCCATTTCGCAATGGTTTACACACGCACTTTGCCCCCCTCTGATTGGCACAGACGGAGTTATTTACTGGCAAGAGAAACCGTATTTCCAAATTCGGAGGGAATTCGTTGTGCGAAATGGGGGGGCTCTGGGACGGAAAAGGAGAAAATTTACTCCCCGTTCAAAAAACCCGCACGGTTTGGTTGCAAAAACGTCAGCGTGGGTGCGAAACTTTTCTCAGTTGGGTTGAAAAACGTCGACCGGCTCCTAGGTCCCAGTTTAGGACAATACTCCCGCGTGTGAACTTGGGTCTCATGGGAGAGGAGAGGGCAGTGGGCCAGGGACAGCGCTTACCTTCAGCCTCCCAGGTCTGGCGCTGGCGAGGATGGGGAAGTAGGTTGTCTGGCTATGCAAGCTGGGCACCTCGTTTATATAGATGGAGGAAGCAGCGCAGATGGCTCCTGATAAGGGCCCAGGTGGCAGCTAGCCGCAAATTATCCCACGGGGCTGTTATCAGATTAACCCTTTGCTTGCCCATGGGACGGATCCAATGTTATTGCTTGTTTCCCTCTCGGTTCTCTGTGCTCCCTACAGTCACCGCTCTCCGCCCTTGTCTCTGTTTACGCGACTGGGCCCCCCTCGGAGGATATTTAATCTCCCAGGGCCTGTTTCCCAAACGCTGCTGTCATCGGACATTCCCCAGGCTGGGGTTCACCCCCTCCCCAGAGGTGGCTGCATTTCAGTGCTCTCCTAGCCTGGAGGGATCTCAGGTCCCTTGGCACGTGAGAGAGAAAGAAACGTACCAGGGTAGTACCTAGAGATCAGGGACCCGTTGTGCCAGGCGCTGCACAGACATGTCGACACTGTCCTACCCTGAAGAGATAGATAGAAAGATTAGATGGATGGGGTGTATGAGGATAGATAGATGGGGTGTGGGGAGTATGAATGGGAGAACAAGTGAATGGTTCTACTCCCTAAGCCTCAGTTTCCCTCTGTCTTCCTCCGATCTCCCAGCTCCTCCTCCCCCCCTGGCTGGTTGCTTCAGACTCCTGAGAAATTCCATTGCAAGTGGCTGTTCCCCAGAAGCGGCCGGGCGTGCTGAGCTGTCTGATCAAAGACTAAATAAACGTAAAGGGTAATAAATAAGATAAGGCGGGAGTCGAGCTGCCGAGGACGAGAGCCGCGCCGTGGAGGGAGCGGTGATGTTAGACACCAGGATAATCAGTAATATACTTAGTATTCGAGACGTGCACATTGCCAGTTGACATTGAGAGCGCTCCATCCCCGCAGGTGCTTGTCTGGTTCCCACACCTGTGATGTCTGCATGTCCCATCACCGCTTCTCTTGGATAAATGAAATAGATTCAGCTCCTTGAGTCTCCCAACAGGTCAGGTTTGAAGACCTTGAATCATTCCTGTAGCTCTTTCCAGCGGGTTGCGATCGAAAATTAGCTCAGCCCAGCTCCGTCGCTCAGGACAGGAGCATGAAAAA